ATTAACAATAACACTGGAGTTTGTCTTCTGGTAATTCAACCTTTATTTAGTTATGGACTCAACATTTCATTAAACAATAATCAGAACTAAGTTTATTTCCTTATACTTCGACCGTTGTATACTTGTGAACTCGATGATTTCTAGTTAAGGACTCGAGGTTTTATTAAACAAAATCACAACTGAGTTTTCTAATGACGTTAAAAAATCACAGTTGAGTTTGAGTTTTAGCTTTGGAACCAAGATTTCATAAAGATAAAATAAATAATGAAAGTTAAGATTGTCTACAGACATTTCAAACGGAGTTGATATTTTATGAAACATATTACACCTGAGTTTGTATACTGACATTTATACTATTTTCTAGTTATGGATTGAATAGTAAAAACAAAAAAGGAGTTTATCTACTGACATTAAAATACCAAAGCTGACTTTGCCTACTTACAGTTCAACCATTTTCTAGTAATGGATTTGATATCTTATAAAAAATCACATGTTAGCTCATCCATTGACATTTCAACAAATCTCTAGTTATGGAGTAGATATTTTACAATAAAAGTACAGTTGACACGGAACACTGTAATTTCATTTATTTTGTATTTATAGAATCAATATTTTGTATAAAAAAAAACATCTAAGTTTCTCTACTGTGATTTCAACCATTTTATGGTTAAGACCTTCTTTACTGACATTTCAACTGTTTTCTAGTTATGTACTCGATATTTTATAAAATAATCACAGTTGAGTTTGTCTACTGACGTTTCAACCATTTTATGGTTAAGACCTTCTTTACTGACATTTCAACTGTTTTCTAGTTATGTACTCGATATTTTATAAAATAATCACAGTTGAGTTTGTCTACTGACGTTTCAATCATTTTTGTTGTTGTTATGGACTAGATATCTTATGAAAATCTACATCTGAGTTTGTCTGTTCTCATTACATTCATTTTCTTTTTATTGTTACATCGGAAAATTTGTAATAGCCTGAAATTGAGTTAAATTGTAATTGAGATTTATAGTTAAATAAAAGCCGATATATATCCAATTTATGATATCTGCCAACAAGATTGATGCATACAGTTTTCTCTTTTAATACAAATATGTTTTAATATACAAACAACAATACAATTTACAATATCAGTTATTACAAATAGTTATTACAAACAATGACGATTACAATTTGGTTATATTTATAGGCGTGTGGTGAGTTTCTCGAAAATTCAGATTACGTAACAATACAAAGCTACAATGGCGTTTACGTACACACATATATTGTTGATTCTTACAAATGTTTAACAAACTTACAAGCCATACAAAGTCTTCTTTCTAGTCTAGAACTTCCTTGATGTCTTATCAAGGGTTCACGATGAGCGAGCTAATTTGGAGTTGATGTAGGTACAATTCACTTAATAGGAAGCTAGCTAGTGCTGTGAAATTCTCTGATCACACGCCAATTTTTCCTACTGGTGAATGTTAGGTAATGTTTTCGTAAAAGTACTAACGTCCGATGTGAATCCACTGAAGTTAAATGATTTGTAATGTTCGAAATCTATAAACGTTCCTGGTCAAATATCTGAAGTTTCCCGATTTATAAGCGTTAATCACAATTATAGCTTACGAAGTTTAAAGCACACCAGTTACAGCAACCCAATAATAGATACTCCTCTTTTGGCGCGTCGTGTTGGTTATATTTATAGGCGTGTGGAAAGATTTTCGAAAATTCAGATTACGTAACAATACAAAGCTACAATGGCGTTTACGTACACACACTCGAGAATCTTCTACAACTTTAGAGAATAGGCGTGAGTTTCCCGATACATGTTTAACAGTATGCGTTATATATACATTTCTAAATATAGATTTAATTTAAACAAATATCGATATTGAAATAAATATGGAATAATAGATCCGTCACATTACGAAGTCAACATTTTATAAACAATCACATCTGTTTTTCTCTACTGGCATTCCAACAGCTTCCTGGTTATGGACTCTGTATTTTATAAAAAAAACAACCACATCTGCGTTTGTCTACTGACATTTGTATAATTTTCTAGTTACACCAATGAATGACTAGTCAGCGACGAGAATTTCAACATACTTTAATATTTTTAACTTAATGATGTGTTGCATGTTTGCGTGACACGGCCGACCAGCCTGCCGATGAGAAGCATTATTATCACGTGACCTTTCTGGCGGGATGGGTTTATCAGTTTCTTACACAAAATTGACTAGCGAATAAAAAAGGAAGCAGTTACCTGTTAGTATAAATAGTCTTGTTGGTGTAATACTGCGTCATGAATGCTTCCATTGGTTCATCAAAAAGTAAGTTATGTTTAATTAAAAAAATATATAAAAAAATCTTTCTCTCTCTTCAATTCTCAAGCTATTCTGCCTTGCTTTTAGATTACCACTAGAGATCAGAAGAGAGTAGAGTGCGCTGCTGGACATTCAGACAGCATACTATCTTATCCACTGGCTGAGTTAACGCCAACACTTTGATACCTTATGATCTTCACTATTTACATAACGTTTCCTAAACTTAATTAGATTAGACCGTGTCCTTAGGTTTGATATTTTGCTTATCTAAGCCAATACATCGTTAGAAGAGAATAGAAAACGCTGGAATGTTGTTATGGAAGGGAGGGAGAGAAAAGAAAACCTGTGCTTAATTAATACCGAATACATGCGCGCATTATCTTCGTTTGGTCTGTGAACGAACTTTCGTCAGCCATCATGGCCGCCTCTAATTGAACTGCACGTTTACCGAACGGACGTACCGCATAGCCTAAGACAGTTTCGATTTTAAAGCGTTATCGTTGTTTACTTGCCCCTGCTTTTAGTGAACAATATTTAGTTTCACAATTATTTATCCTATAAGTAAAACAGTCTCTTCTGCTTATGCACATTTATTTATCTTAAAATTGATTTGGTTTCATTAGTTTCTCATGAATATATCAATCTATCGTTATATATCCGTTGTTGTTTACAACCACTCTAAACACACACACACACACCTCTCATTCACAGAATATATAATTGTTTGAAAACTCAACTTTAAGATACGAGTATCGACATGTACTATGTTTGACTCAGTAGTTAAACTTTTAAGAGAGAGGAAACGGCAATAATGCATCCTGGATTAAAACTGATGTATATGTAATGTGTCATTTATCTCGCTATATTTACAGTTTTTAGTTAACAAGTTATTTACAGAAAGCAAATGTTAAATAGTGTAATCCAAAAATTACATACGATTGGTGAAGTTGGTTGTGTAAATTTGAAAGTGACTAAATCCTTTATCGAGCGCTAAAGGTCAGTATCATAACTTGAATGTTTTAGATATCACAATTGTTCGGTGATCAGCAATACTGTGTTGAAGTCCTGGAAATATCAGTTATTCATTAATACACGTCCAAAGTTTGAATCTTCATTTGGTGTTAAGCGCAAATCTACACAATGGACTATCTGTGATGTGCCCTCGTGAGTATCGAAACCCGATTTTTAGCTATTAGACTTGCTGCTGAGCCACTGGGTGGCGAATTTGTAGAGACAGAACTTTGCTGTTACAAATTAATCCATCGTAGTATAGAGGGCGTGATAACCTGAATCGAAAACAACCTCATTCTTTCTTCAGACTGTTATTTTTGAGTATATAACAAAAATTTTATGTTGCATTTGGACCGATAAAAACAAAAATAAATGTCAAAAGTAAGCTCTGGTCTAAGTATTCCTTAAGCTTTATTTTTTTAAAGACATTCGACTCGCACTTTGAGTGTGGCGAGTTCGAATCCCGTCCTCGAACATGCTCGCTCTTTCAGTGTATGGAGTGTTATAATATAATATTTACTGGTAAGTAATAGCCCAGGAGTTGGAAGTAGATGGTGTTGCCTTCCCTCTAGTCTACGACTTTAAAATGAGAGACAGCTAACGCATATAGACCTCGAGTAGCTTTGCGCGAAAGTAAGAAAATTAAATTAACTATATAACAGAAAAAGAAAGAAATAGAAACAAGCGACTTAAGTTGTTTCTATTTTTAATTTACACGCGTTCATGGTTAATGTTTAACCATTTCTTACGAACATATTACGTTATATGAATCAATCACATGTAGACTTAAAAGTCTGCTTTTTATATTGTTTGTGTTTTACAACAAAATAATCAACATATGACACTGAGCTCTAATTAAAAATGTTTATTTATCATTTTAGTTCAGAATTAAATATAATCAAGAAATGAAGATTTATTATTTTAATTCTAGTCGGTAATTTACTGTGATGCATAGAGATTCAAAAATGTAAAATAACGATTACGATTACTATGCTGAAGTCTTTAATTGTATTGCTGTTAACTATATTTGATTCGATTATTCTTTTGTTACATTACTTAATTTTTTAAATTAACCAGTCTTCTATTCACTATTTATATTGCTCCCACAGGATGAGATCAATTTTATTTACTGCATCAAAATGTTATTTTTTCTTCTTTGGACAAATAACGATCAGTCATTCGCATTCTAATCTTAATCTTGATTCAGCTTAAGCGTGAATACGGATATGATGTATGCCAGTGAAACATCAATGTACATGATCACTTGAACAGCTGTAACACATAAACAGAAAGTTAAATAGTGTAATCCAATACAATGCAATACAGTAGTGCTTTAAAATTATTTCTCTTCTCACTGATGCTGAGGTCGTATGTTAAAGTTATATATTTGTGTATACTACAAATATTAACAGAAACTAAAACTTTTATCACACACAGTATACCTGATACGTGTGTGTGTTAGTTCTTTCTGATTTTGAGCTTTCATGTTTACATATTCTTTATGTATAAACATATCTGGTTAATACACACGCATATGTAACGATTGCAGGAGTGTGTGTGTATTCACATATAGAGATATATCCCTCATTGTTAACTTCAGACTTCGATCGTCTCTACTATATAAATTCCTCGGAAGTACCAGTAATATGGTGTTGTGAGGATGTACTATAACCGCCGTTAGAAACAGTGGCTCATGGTACGTGTCGTGTACGAGTCTTTCTCTCTAGTGGCGTGGTTACGACATAGCGAAGCGTGCAGGAAAGGGTTATACTAGCTAGTTAGATGTGCAGAGACTGGGAAACACTGGAGCACTGTACTGTAGAGTAAGAGGCTGGTGTGGACAGCTGCAGATCGGCGGCCGCTGCTTCAAGTAGATCAGATAGGGTGGGGGGACCATCGATTCAACACTCGCAACTATTCAGATCATTTTGTCATTCAACAGTGGGTGAGGACTATGCAACTCTGCAGACGTGTTTCTCCTGTCCGCGCGCCATGAAATTCTGGTCAGGAAGTAATCTAAACTTTCACGTGTTAGGAGGAGATGGACATTCGACAACGGCCGCCTGGCCTTGCCTGCGCTACCCCAGTTATCTCGCTCTTCAAGTTGAGGAGCTTGCTCTTACAGCCCCGTTACAGACCCCATTCCGCTCATGGTGAGTACAAGTGACACAAGTACATTTGTGTTGTTTACTCCTCGAAATTTTCATTCACAGATAAAACCCTCTCTTGCTGTTTTGTGTCCGATATTTTCTTCATGTATAAATTGTCATTCACCGATAAAAAACCCTCTTCCTATTTTGTGTCCAATATTTTCTTCATGTATAAATTGTCATTCACCGATAAAAAAACCCTCTTCCCGTTTTGTGTCTGATATTTTCCTCATGTATAAATTGTCATTCACCGATAAAAAACCCTCTTCCTATTTTGTGTCCGATATTTTTCTTCTTATATAAATGATTGACAAAAATAATATATCTAGAATATAGTTTGCCTTAGGACACATGTATCATTTTCAGCTCATAAAACTTGTAATGAAGTCGAAGTTTTTGTTAATATATGAGACGATGCATATGCCCCTCCCACTACCCCACACGGGACTTTGTTTCACCTGACAAGAACAGAAACTAAACACAGTTGTAAAACTGAGGAACATTATAGATGTAATTTGTCAAATTATCCTTGCTACATCTGAAATTACTATGTACGATTATCTGGAATATATTCGAAGCGAATATGTGGGATAACATAGAATATAACTTGTGAACAAAGTTTGTCTCATTCAAAGTAAATACATAAAACAATCTCTAATATTCTGCTTGTTTTAGTCGAAGTGGAATGTTGTAGTAATATTAAACATAAGTTTAAAATATTTTGTGTTATGCGAAATGAATATGTATGGTAATGTGAAATATAACAGTAAAATACAATTTATCTCATTCGAAGTAAATTTGTGGTAACCTAGAACTTAAGTTCTGAAATGTTGTTTGAAGTAATTTTGTAAGGTAATCTTAAACATAAGTTTAAAATAATCTTTGTCTTATAAAAAAATTAGATGATACTATGTTTAAAATTATACAATATAAAAGTTTTGACATCTAGTTTGTAATAAGTATTTTACACAAGACCGTTGAATTACGGTCGAATATATCCTAACAGTCAGGGTACCCAAACGCTGAAATAATACACTCTAATCTTTATGCGTAGAAACGTAAGAAGAAAATATTTAATTAGTTATAATGATGGCCAGGTTGATTCGCCCTAAGTACATAGCTTACTCTAATAGGAAATTAACATTAATTATTTGTCTTGTTCGAAATGAACATTGTATGTTAACCTGGAATAAACATGATGAAACTATATTTATAATGTTATTGCCATTCCACAAAGTTTTCGATTTTATAAGAGAGAATTATAGCAAATGTTTTGTATTTATTCTTGTTTATCGAGTGTGAAACTTCATTAAACTAGATATACGCATAGTGTCAGCTTCCCTTTGATATTTTGATCTTCTTCGAAACGATTACTATATCTCCTGTCAGCGTATCGAACAGTTGAGACAGCTGTTCATTGAAAGAAGAGAAAAAACAACAACCCCAAAACGATCTGTTTGAGAGGAGAAAAATGCAAGGATAATAATTTATTCAAACAAAGAAACGCCATCATGATATGAATATTGTCGTAGAAAGATCGGGGAAATGTTTGTACACAATGAATATTTGACCACGATGAGAGTTTATTATTCTTCGTTAGGGAAATCTTTTTTCTCCCTTGGGAAAAATCTATAAATGTCGCCTTTATTTTCTCCGTATTAACTTGGTCCTGCAGCTTGGCAACTACATATTATATGAACCTCTGCTTGTCACGTGCGTGTCTACCTTTTAAGTCCAATGACTCATGCCAAGGGGTTTGTTCATGAAAACCAATAATGATAGCGATCAAACTGAATTTTTACCTTAATTTATGGTCGATAGAAATTTATAATGTTTCAAGAAAGAGACAAACAACTTAAAGGATACAAAAATGAAAATAGTTCGAATGTTTGGCAGGATGTATAGACAAAACATAGCTACATTTAAAAAACAGATAGACTGTTTGGCAGGATGTATAGGCAAAACATAGCTACATTTAAAAAACAGATAGACTGTTTGGCAGGATGCATAGGCAAAACATAGCTACATTTAGTGTAGACAGAATGAGAAATATTTCGAATGTTTGGCAGGATGTATAGAGAAAACATAGCTAAATTTAAAAAATAGAATGAATGAGAAATAGTTCAATGTTTAGTTGGAAAATATGAAAAGACAAGACGTAGGTACATATAAAATAGACAGAATGAGAACTATTTCTGTGGTTTGGAAGGATGTATTGGCAAGACAATTTAAAATAGTTCGAAAATTAGTTGGGAATAATATATAGAGAAGACATAGCAACATAAACAGATAGAATTGGAAATCTGTGTGTATACACCACCCTTTTTTTATTTCTTCAATATTTATAGTTTTTTCACTAGGTACTTCTTTCTCCTCACCGTGGAGAATTTGACGAGGTACCTAAAACGCTAGAAAGTGCCAACATTTCAAATCGCTTCCCTGTTGTTCAAATATCAGGGCAATAAATATTCACTCCGTAAACATTCATCACGTACTTATTCACATCGATTTTATTCGAAAGCCAAACACGGATCTTTTCTTTAGCAATTATTCATACGTAAATTTAATTATTTTCTGCACCTCAACAAAGCATCATTGTTAATGTAGACGTAAGTGTTTGTACTCACAAAATAAAGAGACTACATCAGTAGAAAAAAACCGAGATAGGTAGCTAGATATATAGAAGTGTGTGACACATTTAGCATCTTGTACGGAAAGATAACTGCTCAACTGCTTTGAAAATTGAATATTTACAAAAATCGTGTACCACAGGAAAAAAATTCTAAGAGAGCAAAGAAAACGGAAACGCCAAAGAAGAAAACATATACAGTTTTTTTATTGTGATAAAAAAGACGCGTGCGTTATATATTAGCTTACCTGTTCTGTGCTATAAGACATTTGGTAGACTGAATAAACACTTTCATTGTAGTGTGTAGGCAGTAGTGGCTGTAAAGGGAGGACGTGAGTATGATATTAATTTGCCTGTATTACTCTATAAGACATTCACTAGACCGAATAAACACTTTCATTGTATTGTGTAGGCAGTAGTGGCTGTAAAGGGAGGACGTGAGTATGATATTAGTTTGCCTGTATTACTCTATAAGACATTCACTAGACCGAATAAACACTTTCATTGTATGTGTAGGCAGTAGTGGCTGTAAAGGGAGGACGTGAGTATGATATTAATTTGCCTGTATTACTCTATAAGACATTCACTAGATTGAATATACACTTTCATTGTATTGTGTAGGCAGTAGTGGCTGTAAAGGGAGGACGTGAGTATGATATTAATTTGCCTGTATTACTCTATAAGACATTAATTAGATTGAATATACACTGTGGTTGGATAACGTAGGACAGTAAAGAAAGGACGTATTTTTAATATTATTTTACCTATTCCGGATTTTGAGAAATTTTCTATATACTCCTAGTATTTCCACTATTGTGAGATATTTTGTATCTTTCTATAAATTTAACTTTTGTGAATTATTCAATAACTTGATATTTTCTATCTTTTTATGAGAAAAACATCATATTTACTAGTATCATAAAGAGATATAGAATATTAAGGAATTCTTACAAGAGAAAAAGGCATAATCAACAACTGTTATATAGGTGGCTTTGATCATGGCAAATGAGCAAGAATAGAGGTTGTTCTTAAATAGGACGAGATAAACAATTTTCTGCAATGCTGATCCTAATTTTCTTGTGTTTATGTTTAATATATATATTATTAGCTGTCAGAAGAGATTATTTGTAAAATATTGGTTGTTTGTTTGTTGAGCTATTTGCTGTGTCTACCACGAGGAATCGAGCCCTGGATTTTAGCATTGTAAGTCCTTAATCTTATCTTCGTCTTACTATGGGATAACGTTGATGGTTTGCACAAACTCTCCACTTTGCACAGCTTTAAGTTTTTTTTTCTAAATTTCTAAAAAGTGGCATATTTCGTGAGTTTTTCTTAGACAAAACTAATAATCCCGTGAAAAGTATCTGAAGTAGTGGTTCAGTAATTCTTTGGCGTTGTTCTCTCGAACAAACGTAGTGATTCTTTGGAGAAATAAACATTCAGAACTATCATTAATTTACGTTCTGTGATAAAAGTTCGTGGATCATGTCTATTTGTATTTCTGTCTTTACAAGTACTCTTCGAAAGGTTCTATGTAATAGAAATAACGAGAGTTGATTTAGTGAATCAAATTTGTTTCTATGCAATGTTGCCAGGTTATTGTATCAGTGATTAACTTAGTAGAATTTCCTCGTAACAGGTTGCAAAAGTGTAAGAAAGGGAACACTGTCTTTTTTTCTGAAACTTCCAGAAACGTTTGTTTGTACATATCCACAGGAATCGTTGGTGTGTCTGAGGTGTCAGTCACGTAACTCGACAAAACTGTCTGTTGTTTTCTTTTTATTTCTATATGTATGAAAATAACTAAAATTGTGATTGAATTGATATGTGAACACGTTATGCGTTATACCTTTCCTCTGGAATAAGATTGTCTAAAGATAAACATCATACTTAGAACAGTGTGTAAATCTAAAATTTTGTTTTATGAATTATTAAAAAAAACCATAAAAGTCATAATTTTAATCACGTTGTCGGTGTCAAACCTTATTTTAAAAAAAATTAAAAGCAAACAATTAGCTGTTTGAATATATCAGTGTTTTTTTCTTGGGAATCAATGTTTTTCACTTAAAACACACAATAAAGTGACATCACTGAAAGTGCTCTCTGTATGTAACAGAAACTTATTATGAATTGTTTTATCCATTTCAAATTCATCTGCATTTCGATGCTAATAATCACACATACATTCCTGTGATAAAACTTTGTGTTTCATCTGATATACACGTAGTCTGGGAATTTATTTCGCACAGTTAACTAAGGAGAAATACTAAACAAAATTATTTATGATTGTTTGCAATATATATAAAGACTTTAAATTCGTTATTTTTTTCATACTACAGTATATATATATATTGTTTCGAAAAGAGATCAGAAAATAATTTGAAGTGCATAACAAAAACTATTTTGTAAACTCGCGTGTTGTAAAGATTGGTTCAATCGTTGTTTACCCTCAACAACCTGTATCTATAGAGTAAGGCTTGTACCATTATTTTTAGTTTCTCGACCCTCCCCCGTTACTTTGTTACGTACATGTGTCAGTAAATCTTTGTTCTTGTGTTCTTTATACGTAATCCCACCATCTTCTCTAGTGAAATATGTACGTACAAACAGAAGGAAATTATCTCTTCCATGTCTCCTAAAGAAACAGTACTAGCTGAAGGATCTAAAGGGATCTCTGTTAATTAAGTAAATAGAACACCCGCTGTAGTCTTTCAGCCTTAAAGTTCCGAAGTTAGCAGTAAGGAATTCCTGGATTATTCATCTCCAAAAACAATTCACAATTCAACAGTTAAATGTTTCAGAATCGGTAGAGTATTTTTTGGGTATTCCAGAACTTTAATTAATAAATTGTTGTTTTTACTACTTTCTGTAACTTTCTTTTACCTTATTGTTGGTAACAAAATCATATGATTTTTTTATTTATTTTAGAATAACAGCATATTACGTATATGTTAGATAGATTTTTGGAAGACAGTATTCTGAGTAAATTTTAAGAAGGAGAGAAGTATATACCCACAATACTTTGAATACACCCATACATATAAACACACACAGTTTTCGGCCAGAAGCTTACTCTACAGTATTGTATTACAGGTATGTTACTATTTCACCTCAGGTCAAAGTGTTCGAAATATATATAAGTATTTGTATTTATGACAAAGTCACAAAAGTTATCTGCCATAATTTACACTACCTATCAGAGGGAAGGCAGCCAGTCATTCTTATAACGCATCCACAGCTTAAAGTGCAGGAATATTTTGAGGTATTATACGGATTCGAACCCGGCTCGCCAGGTCTGAAATCCAGAGCTCCCCATAGGGCCAACCCGCGCGCTATGCATATAAGATATTCAGCTATGTTCTTTACATCTGATTCTTGCATAACGTTAAGGGTAGACGTGTTAAATATAAACTTTTTATGTGTAAATTACATTTTTCTCTACATATTTAGTAGACAAGTGAGTGTTAAAATATTGTAAACCCAAAATATGTAAGATGCTTAGATAATTCATATTATCTTGCATAAGATACAAACTCTTTACATATACTGCAGTCACAGTTGGAATATCTCATAACTGTGGATTGAAATCCTGAACTTTTAAATATTCCAAGGCAAATTCAAGCGTATGTAATTCACGCAGTTAAAAACTAAATAAACTGTTTTAAGCTTAGACTGAACATTTCTCACATTGTCCTGTGTTTACCTTCTCAAGTATGAAACCTACCCTACACATACATATGTAATAACTACATTTCCCTTTCACTTTGTGTAATTATCAAACATAAATAGTACTGTGATTTATATGCAAACATATCATAATTAAAGTTTATGAATATATCATGGTTTTATCACTGAAATCTATACTGTACGGATGACAAATACAATTGTTAAACTTGTTTGTTCTGTGTGGAAAAAGTTGAACTGCACACTTCAAAACTTGTACCTGACAACTTTCAACAACGAATTGAATTTATTTTATCCATCCTGTCTGATCAAAAGTCAGAACACACACTACAGAACCTGTACTTCACGACATCCATAAACAAACAGCATTTTTAACACTCGATGTGATAATGTATGAGCAAGCTAAAATACACATTTCTAAACTTCTATCACATAGAACAAGTTTTTTTATTCTTTCATATAGAATAGCTTGACAACAAATAAGAACACTCAAAATAGCACCTCATAACGTCCATCTGTTTCTTATTTTCATGCTGTGTGAGTCAGTGTGACATTACAGCAACAAGTCAAACAGAACACACATACACTTCAAACCTGTACACCAATAAATTCTTTCCCTTCTTTATTGTTTCCATGTTGTGTGATATTTCAGCAACAAGTAAAACATAACATACTTCAGAACCTGTACTTCCATAATTGCAATGTTGATAGAGTCTAATTTCTTAGCTGGCATAAAAGTTGGTGACAATAAATGTTTTGGTGTTTTCCTTCATAGTCATAGAAACGGTTGACGTTAATGTGCGATTCTCTATGACTTTAATGTCTTTCAAGTATTAATATGATATTTCTATTTGCATGCACAGGCCCTGGTAATGCAATGGATGAGGCCCGATCACCCACCATGGAATCCCCTCATCAGCTGCAAAACATGTATGGTAGTCATGGTCACCGAAACAATAGCAGCAGTAATAGCGGCAGTCCACCAATTTCCACACATACGCCTTCCAACTCTATGTTAGTGGTTCCTCAACCCATAAACGCTGTAGGCAAGAGTCCACCAGGCCTGAATACCGCTAATGCTGCTAGCAATGGTACCGGGCGGAAGTATCAGTGCAAAATGTGTCCGCAGGTGAGGAAATATATATATATATTTATATATAGACACGAAAGATTCAATAATTATGAAATGACTAAGTTATTACATAGATCAATTGTTTATCTTATGCTATCGTATTACTTTAACTTTTTTATTAGGCTCATTCTCCGTTTCGTAGGAAGATACATAATGTGCACATAATTTTTGTTTAAGTCGAAATAGCGAAGTACATTTTTTACAGCTTTATATGTATATATATGTATATGTGTGATTGTGAGTGTGTGCATACATTTTGAAAACATTCTTCAATCTTTCACCGAATTTAGTGCTCCTAGGTATTAATGAAGGAACTTTCGTGTATTTATAGTTTTGTATCATATCCATATAAAAATACCTTGCTGAGGAATTGGTTCTTCTGAAATATCGATATGTTTGTGGTTAGCTCATGCAGTTGAGCTAAAATTAAAGTCTGGCTGAGCTGTATTAAACCAGCTAGCTGGAGATAAAGTTTGACTGGCATGGCATGGCCAGGTGGTTAGGGTATTCGCCTCACAATCTGCGGGTCGTAGGTTTGAATCACAAAAAATGCTCGCCCTTCCAGCCGTTATAATTTGAAGGGCATCCTATTCGTTGATAAAAGTGTAGCCCGAGAGTCGGCGGTTGGTGGTGATGACTAGTTGTCTATCCTCTAGTCTGTCGCTGCTAAATTAGGGACGGCTAGCACAGATAGCCCTCGAAATTCAACACAAAGCCAAATAGTATTAAACCAGCTAGCTGGATATAAAGTTTGAATGAGTTGTATTAAACTAGCTGGATAGAGTTTAAGTTTGGCTGATCAGTAATCAACCATCTAACTGGAAGTTAAAAATTCACTTAGCTGTATTAAATCAGCCAGTTGGATTTTACGTTCGACTGAGATGTATTAACTCAGCCAGCTGGATTTAACGTTCGACTGAGCTGTATTAAACCATCTAGCTGGAGTTAAATTACGCTTAGCTGTATTAAAGCAGTTAGCTGGATTTAACGTTCGACTGAGCTGTATTAAACCAGCTAACAGGAGTTAAAGTTTTACCTAGCTGAAGGAATTTAGCACCAGCTGTTCTCCTTCCATCTATGGATAATGTATCGCATTATAGGTGAACTATTTGTATTATTGATAGTCATTTTGTAAACGAAAAGTGTTACCAAATGTCAGCTAATGTATTTAAATTCAAGTGTTGTTTCTGCCGATTTTATTTCACGCTGTCTGGACTATGTACGGATAAACTTTCTATTTGTACACTGTATACGTAATATACTGACACAATATAGTCCAGGAAAACGCTAACTTTACTGACCTGTCTTCCGTTATACTTGCCTATGAAACTTTACATTATTCAACGATAAAATTTGTTAGCTGAGTTGAAATGTTTATGTATATTTCTGATGATATCAGTTGAATTAAAATGTTGATATATGTTTCTGATGATATCACTGGTTATCTGAGTCGAAATGTTGATATATATTTCTGATGATATCACTGGTCAGTTGAGTGGAAATGTATATTTCTGATTTTAAAATTATGTCTAATGTAGCAACATTATGTAGAACATTTAAAGAAAAATAAAACTACAACCCGGGATTGTAACCTTAACCTCAGTTATTAAATTATTTAAAAAAAAATCACACTTCGAAAGAAATTTGTTTATTAACTCTCTAATAAAAAACACACCTGTCCCACGTATAAGTAAGCACGACAGAAATATATAATCGGCACAAGGTTGTTAATAAGGGGAATAACTCTAGTTGCGTGTTCAATATATCTTATTGTTTTTCACATACTTTTTGGGCCTTATTAGCTGTCCTATTTCACTACTATTTACAAATAGTCAAAAGGAGAGGTACAATGGCATGCCAATTTTCAATTAATCACGTGTCTTTTTTGTTTCTTTCAAAAACCAAAAAACTATCTCAGACTATCATTGCATGTAAACAGGGCCAATTTTGTATGTATGTGTATATACATAATATAATCTATACAGTAACAAATACACCTGTAAATTAAACAATATGTACTCAATACAAAGTTAAGCTAAGAGAATGTGTATGCTGATCCAGATAAGTTGCCGTTTAGTTCAAGAGAAAAAGTTTTAAATAGATGATCAAAAAACTTTTTTATAGTTCAGTTTTGTGATTATTACTATAAGCGATTAAATTACAAAATTAATTGACGACTGGTACTTGTTTGTCCTCTCCTACCCACAAACCCCACATCTCGAAAAAAAAGAATTAAATAAAAATTTTGATGTAACGGTTAGCTTTTATAATTTATTTGGTAAATACATATCGTGTTATGTGATTGACCTGAAAGCTATTTGTTTGATACTTGGAATGTTTCGTATGGTAGTAGTACACTAGCGTTCGTGGTCTACTTATGCCGAGAAAAGGTTTCTCTGTTGTTATTGTTTAGACATTTATTGTGTAGCCCGCTCCTGAATAAAATGTATTGGAATGTCTTCTTTCAGGTTTTGTTTTCGTTACACGTGTTTTGTTTTGGGTTTTTTTTTACCCATTTTATTTCGTTGATGCTCTGTCCATTGTTGAATCTGTCTTGTTTTTTTGTGGTTTTTTGCTAGCTTATCTCACCTGGCCTTAATTACATTAAATTGTTTTTAGTATTTCTTCTCGAACAGGCCACGAATTTTTTTTGAGCCTAAAGCTAGATCTCAGTGTGCCAAATCTAAATGACAACCTCATATAAAGCCGTTTTATCTTAAACATAACTGCAGATGCTTTAAAATGCTAAATATATCTTATTTAGACATAAGAAATATAATAATATGACAATAGATCAAATATTCTTTGAGTAGAATTAACTGTTTGTCTACTTGGTTTTGTTTCTTATAACATACTGTATTGTTTCTTATAACATACTGTCTTGATTTCCCGGCATCTTCATGAAC